CTGGGTTCCTTCGAACCCACCCAGGCGCTGGGTTCCTTGCGAACCCAGCACGCTTGCCCGGGTTGGGTTCCAAGGAACCCAGGCGCTAGGTTCCGGCGTGGGTTCAAAGAACCCAGGGGTAAAAAATGTTTTTTTTTTTTCTGTGGGTTTGGTGTTTGATGATGATGTGTTTGATGATGATGATGAAGAAAGCAAGGCAAGGAAGAGGAAGGAAAAAAAAAGGGCGTTGTTGGGTTCGATTCAACCCAAGTGCTGGGTTTGTTTGCTAGAGGAAGAAGATGATGGCAAATTCGTAATTTTGGTGGGCTCCACTTTTGTTGAGTTGGGCAAGGACATGACATGTCACGTTGCCATGTCATTATTTATTCATTTATACAACTGACGTGTCTCAAATGTTCGACATGTCATTAAATTGTCGTGAGATAATGGTGAGATTTTAACGGAAGGACCAAATCGGGGTAAAAATGGTAAACAGTAGGGACCAAATCAGGGATTTTTTTAGTTCAGGGACTAAATCGGGGGTTCGTACAATAGTTCAGGGACCAAAAAGGGGTTTTAACTTAAGGTTAAATCCCCGATTCAGTCCCTCAACTTTCATTTTTGAACTAAAATTACCCTCGAACTTCAAAAAGTACTAAAAAAATCCTTGAACTTCAATTTTCGAGACCAATTTCGTCCTTCCGTCGACGGAAGTGCCAGATGGCACGTTAAGTTGCCACGAAATCAATTCTTATTTGAAATCTTTAATTACGTGAAAAATAATTTTACCCATTATTATCCACATCATTTTAATTAATTTATATAGGTTAAATACCCTTTTTGGTCTCTCTACTATAGGAAAAAGCCCTTTTTTGGTCCCTGTACCAAAAAAATTCCCTTTTTGGTCCTTACTGTTCACAAATCCGGCCCCTTTTTAGTCCTTTCGTTAAATTTTAGGTGATGTGGCACGTTAATGAACGGAAAAACTCATTCCTTTTTTTTATTAAATTACGTGGAAAATCCACGTGGCAAAATTGATGACATGCTAAATTTTTTTATTTTTAATTACTGATATACCCTCATCTTCTTCCCCGCTTCTCCTTCCTCCAGCCTTTTTGTTTTCTTTTTTTTCTTTTACCTCCAGGCAAACCCAAGAGCCTGGGTTCGCAAAACCTAAAAGGCAGCCATAACCAACAAACAAAATGAACCAACCAGTGTTAATATGAAGGAGAAAAAGGTTCGCACCTAGAATTTTATTGGAGCTAACATCCCTAACAGAAGAAAACCGCTTCAGAGCTAAACACTTAATAAAGCTTGGTGGGCCGTTCAGGGCATAGTACAAATCTTGAAGAGCTACAACTGTACAAGGCAAAATCCAGGGAAAAAACTGTATGATTTAGGCAAAATCCAGGTAAAACATAGAATCTTTTCTTTTCCTACATATTCTTGGCATCAAAACAGAGCTTCAGAGCACATAAAACAGCAAAATTCATAATGATCACCAATTAAGTTACTCAAATAGCATCAATTTCCACATAAACACAATCAATCGCTGCTTGAACCTCTAGAAAATCCAATCCAAACGAAACGAAACGAAAGGTTCGCACCTCGCGAACCCAAGCTCCTGGGTGCGAACCCGCGAGCTGGGTTCGCGAAACGAAACGAAAGGTTCGCACCTCGCGAACCCAAGCTCCTGGGTGCGAACCCACGAGCTGGGTTTGCGAGGAACCCAAGCTCGTGGGTTCGAACCCGC